GCTCTGTTCTTCCTCCTAACCTTTGAAAATCAGAAACGTCTCCATTTTACAGATGAGGAGACTGAAGCTCAAGCAAGTTGAGTGACCCCTGCTTAGGGACCCCTGCTTAGGGACCCCTGCTTAGTGACCCTTAGCCACAGGGATCCTAACCCAGGCTGCTCCCCTGGCTGCACACATAGGCAAGCATTGAACCTACTTCTGGTGAAGAACAATGATCAATACCCAGTTCTTATCCCTCCAAGGAGTTTTCAGTTAAATCGGAGGAACTGACCATTATTCTGATCAAAGTGCTAGCTAATAGAAAGTGTTGGTGGCATGAAGACTTTAATACACAACCTATTGGTAAGTCTGAAAAGGTGGCCAAGGAAGGACCCAGCAGTGTCTTATTTAGAGATGGCTTGACTGTACTTTTTGAGCTTTCTGGTCTTTGTGTAACAGCTCCTGGCACTATGTTTTGCTCACAGTGGGAATTTAGTAAATATTTCTAGAATAATAGAGGTGATGCCTAAAAGCCTGGTTTTTGCATATTTGAATCCAAGTCAGTCATTTCCCGTCTCTGGGCATAATGGATTTCCGCACATGGAAAGTTGATTCTTGAGAAAAATTTTGCTTTGGAAGGATTTGGCATTCCAAATCTATTACTTAGAGTTTAGTCCCCTTCAAAAAAAATAAGAAAAAATATGCAAAGCCCAAAGTTGACTGTTGGTTTGTGTAACTAAGTGACACATAATTTTTCTTTTAACTTCAAAAAGACGTAGCCAAGTAGGTGAGGCTTGGGTGAAAGAGGAATGTGTAGACTCAGAGATTACGCATTTTCATTATGTAAGAATTTGTAAGATTTACCATGGTTTCTGGTAAACGCTGGCACGGGTGTGTTTGGCCCCAGGCTCTGTGAAAGCTGCTGCCTTTATAATGGTGCTGGCTTTTCTTTGGCAAAGGAGCAAAACGTAGCTGGGGCAGGGCAGGGCAGGGCAGGGGGTGAGTGAAGGGAGGGCACCACTGCCCAGTTCTCTTCATCCCCTTTCTTCAGGTTCTATCTACAGTTCTTTGAAAGCATTTTGAAGCCTCACTGATTTCTACTGCATTGTGACTCAAAACTCTGAGAGTAGAGGTCTGGTGGGCTGCCCGCACACCCCCCCCCACCCCACACACATTGCCAATCCCACCCCAAGCTCATAGGACTGAGCTCTGGTAGGGAGTGCTTAATCATTGACTAAATGCAACGTCTGCCCCACATACCACTGTATAGGGCAAGTTCATGACTATAAACATATTGATTTCATAGGAATGATGGAGGTAATCATTATCCCCATTTAGAGATAGGAACACTGCGGCTCAGAGAAGTTAAGTGACAATGTCTAGCAAGTAAGTGTCTGGAATCCATTATCATCCCAGTCTCCTGGTCTCTCATCTAGGGCTCATGTCACTACCACAAAGGTGCCCATTTGGACTGGGGCAAGGTAGCAGGACACAGACTGGCCAGAAGATAATTCTTCTTGGAATGGGCCAATGAGTCATGAGGGGAGGTGCTATAACAAGGGTGCTGAGATTTCAGAAGTCAACTCTATTGTGCAGAGAATTGTACACCAGTCTTCCTGGGTGCCATGGTAGCTTTGTTCCATTCTGGGAGACAAACCAGAGGAGTCTGGAGGCTTTTCCTTGTACTTGGAGTTTGTGGGGAAAAAAACTCAGAGTAAACAGGCACACAAAACCTAACCCAACCTGCCATTATAACTCTGTGAAAGGCTAAGAAACAGTTGAAAGATGGGAAGAGAGGAATTGAGGGACTCTTGGTGTAGTCAGATTGTGGACCGCCAGCTTCTTATTTATTGGGTATGTGTCTTCCATTTGTCAGGCTGTAATGGTAGTCGTTTTTATGAGTAAGCAATTTTTTAATGAACTTGTTCCAAATGTGTATTCCATTCTTGGAACTCTGTGCTATGAAGCAGCTTTATAATTATTGCCTTCGATGAAACAGCCAGGCTCTATCTGGCTTTTATGTAAGCAATTTCTCTTGGTTTGCCTGTTTCTCTCTTTGGCTTCAGATAAGATGAAGAGGTGGAAAAATATAATAATAATCATAGCTTTTGGGGAGTGCTTATTAGATGCTAGACATTCTCCTCAATGTTCTGTATTCAGCTTTTAATTTTATCTTAACATGACCTGGTATTAGGGTATTTTTATAGCCCCCATTTTACAGATGAAGTAACTGTGGTTCGGAGAAGTTGAGTGAAGTATCTAAAGTCATCAGGTAGTAAGAGATGGAGATAAGATCTGAGCAGATGTCTGAACGGCCTGCATTCTGACCCCTTTGCTCTATGGGGTGGACTAGTATGGCTTCTTATGTCAGCATTCTTCCAGGTAGAGCTGGGGGCGGGAAGAGGACCGCAGGATACTCATTAGTGCTGTGGAGTTATTTGCCATGTTGGCCCAGGCAAGAGGTATTGTAATTAAGTGCCAATGGCTCAGTAATTATAGACCATTTTTCTGGTCTTTGGCTTTTATAAAGAGAAACAGAGAAGTCAGGAAGCTCCCTAACCTTGTTGTTACCTACAATAATGCTACCTTCTGTCTTGACCAATGACTGCAACATTTATCCTGAAGCTCAGAGATTTTTCACATGGTAAGTTGGCCTCATCTTTGTGATGTGGACTGTGTGACATGGACCCAACCAATGTGTAAGGTGTGCTAATAGTTAGGCTGTCTCTAGAACCCTGTCTTTTACTGCGTTCTTATTTCCAATATCTTTTTATAGGGTAAGCATGTAAAAGGAGCAAAGTTTGCTTTGGAGAAAGTCCCTCCATCCCTTTGGCCTGGGTTTTCCTCTTGGTGCACAGGCACCCCCCTCCCCAACCCCACCCCTGGTGTCCTCCCGCTGACCTCTGCTTCCCCAGAGCTCCACATGGAACACCTAGGCAGCCAGGCCCTCACCTCATGATTAGGACAGAGCTGGGTCCTTTACAGAGATGGGGAAATTTGCTCGGTTTTGATCCACAAGTGAGTTTGTTTCCCTCCAATTAGTTGGAAAATCGAACTTGATCTATGAAGAAGGCAGATTTATAGCTCGAGCTGATACATTACTGCCCCAGCTTTGCTGTAATAAAAGATGAAATCACTCCAGTGGGGACTTGGGTGGACATTGGGCTGCTTTCTAATGACTATGTTCCCTCCGATTTTCAGAGCCCAAGTGAAGCAGGCCAGGATGATCAAATAGCCCTTCGTAGGGGATAAAAAATAATTTAAGGAGCTGGGGAGGAAGACAGTTGGAGTGTTTTATTTTTGTTTTGTTTTTTTCCTTTGCTTTCTGCTCTACCCCCTTTTCCAGAGATGTGATGATGCTCTTCCCCGTGGGAAATAGAACTGTTCTTGCTAGTTTTCAACCGATGTTCCTGCTGACTTCAATCTTCAGGACAGGTATAGGAGGTGGCGGCCATTCTGGCCCCTGCTCCTTCTCCCATAGAAAGCCTGTTTCTTGCCACCTTGCTTCTGATCCTTCCTCTCCAAGCCTCTTTCACTGTTGATTTACAGTTTGCTCTGTTTGGCTACATTGTCTCTTTGGCTTCTGTCTTTTGCTCTCAGTCTCCTGCTGTCTATGTAGATAGAGCTTTCTGTGCCCCTCCCCCACCCTGCCTTTCTTTCTCTTTCCTCCACAAACATCTTCAGCTCTGCCGCCACTGCATCTCCACTGCCTTATTTGCCTCCCTGCTCTGAGTGATCGTGGTTTTGGCACTCCTTCTTACCTCCCTTTCTCCCTCTGATTCTGGTTCACAGTATCTTGAAAGAGCGTTTGATAACGTTCGCCTGACCCTGCCTGACATCCCGCCAGTGATTCTCCTCGGGCAGCTTTTGATGTGATCTGTGCCTGATTGGTGAAAGCTGCTCAATTTGCTCTTCAAAGCTCTGTTTATGGAGAGCTTGGATGCATCTCCTCGGGATTGCTCTCTCTCTCTCTCTCTCTCTCTCTCTTCATCTTAAACAAGTCCAAATTACAGGATAAAACCAGGCCCCTTTCCATTTGTTCATCCTCTCAGACCCCTCAATGTCCACGAGAGAAAGAGCACATTGTACACATCTTCCTTTTAAAAACGATTCTCTTTCCTACGTCCTCATGACAGAGATTTTAACCTGCAAAAAGAGTACCTTGGATGAATTTTAATTCAAATGTAACCACTGTTAGCCCCAAAGAGGACAAATTTAGATTTCGACTCTGAGTATGAAAATAGAAGAAAAATGCTAATGCTGAGAATACCAGAATCTGATCACATCATGAATGCTGGCTACTAAGTATATGGTCATTGTCGTAAAAGAGGAGCTAAAATCTCAAGAACTGTCTGTAGTTCCTGATTCTGGAAAGAACAGTGGTTCGAGATCTTTCCAGCTGTAATCATCCCGGATTCCAAAAGCACATGAGAAGATGAGGCATATTTTTACCTGGCTTGGTTTCCTCTAGAGCTGTTTCTATTTTTCAAGTTAAGATGGGGATTTATGCACCTGCTCTAGATGGCTAACACATTCAAAGGCTTAAAAGAGCGATGGGCAAAATAATCAGTAGAAGCTCTTTGTAGTTCTTAGGCTCCCTGATTCTGAGAATCTAATACTTGGGTTCTGATAAATACATTGCAATGGAAAGATTATTGAGTTTCATGCTAGAGTACCCGAGTTTAAATGCCAATTTGGACAATTACAAGTTGAATGATCTTCAATAAATTTACATTTTTTTTCAGTTTTTTTCCTCAACAGCTTTACTGACGGATAATTTACATTTCATAAAATTCAGCCATTGTAAGTGCACAGTTCGATGATTTTTAGTAAATTTATAGCTGTGATATCATCACCACAATCCAGTTTTATATCATTTTCAATAGTTTTTTTAATCTCTATTTTCTTTGTCCATATTAAAAATTGGACTTACGTGGTAGATGGATTGCAAAACTGACCATAATTCTATAACCCATTGCAACATGACTTTCTTGCTTCTTCTATTGAGAGGTGAAGTTGATTTCCTCAGTCCCTGGTTTGGGGACCAGCTTTGTGACTTGTTTTGGCCAACGAAGTGCAGTCTGATGGTGTGCCCTTTCTGAGCTTAGACCTCAAGAGGCTGTGCATGTTTCCACTTGCTTTTTGAAACCTGCTACGGTCACCATAAAGTTGGGCTGGCCTGCTGGCCCCATCAGCCACCCTTGCTTAAGCCCACTTAGATCAGCGTGCCCACCTGCTTGCAAACTGATCACGGACACAGAAACATCTTTCACAGAGACCAACTGAGCCCAGCCCAGGTAAGCAGCATTAGTCAGCCAGAGACACAGGAAATAGTAGAAGGTCATTGTTTTAATCACTAATCTTTAGGGTTGTTTATAAAACATCATCACTGTGGTAATAAATAACTGATACAGGGTGGTCATGGGAACAATTTTTTTAAAGCTATGAAAACACTGAATATTCTGCCTAGTATATAGAAGGTCCTCACTACATTAAAATGTTCAATTTAAAGAATATTTATAGAAGTCCTCATATGTGAAAAACACTTATGCTTGAAGTTGCAAGGGCTGTAAGATTGAAATGGTATAAAGCCCTAAGAATTCAGTTTCAGTAGGATACACAGCCATAATGTAGAGTGGTCTAACCTTCTATTCGACTTCTAATGTTGAAGTAGGCTCTCCATTATCTGTAAATAACTCTCGTTTTCTTGGTATGTTTCTAAACATGTTCAAGGTGCTCAAGGGATATAGTTTATCGAATACTCCCCAAAACATCACATTGATCACAAGTACAGTATTTGCATTTATTAAAAGAAAGAAGTCTATGTTAGAAGCTTGGCCATGTGAAATGCTTCATTAGTCCAGGAAACAGGAAAGCAGACATGAAATCAGAGCCAGGCTGAGGAAGAGGATAAGAGAGCAGTGGGTGGCAAAGCCTTAATTTCTAAAATGACCAGGAGCTTTAATTCCGAGGATGCCTGAAGAACAGAGCATTGCCTTAGCAAATTGCTTTTGCTCACTTCTAAAATATTCTAGTGGGATTGGGGTAGGAGGAGAGGTGGAAGGAGTGAGTGTGGAGGCAGATCGGACTCTGGTACCAGAAGTCTTATTGGTTGATCTCTAGCAGCAGATTCTGTTAACTCATCCTTCTTCTTCAGGAAGCAGGTCACCTGGGGAGTCTGAGCACAGTGCAAAGAGCTTTGGCTTGGGAAGCGGGGTCTCTAATTCCAGCCCTGACTGGCAAGTGCTGAATAGTGACCATGGACAAGTCACTCCCCCTCCTCCCCCTGCCTCACTGAACTACATCTCCAGACCTTTTAATTTTGTATTTGGAGATAGGGTCCCATTGAGTTCTCAGGCTAGCCTTGAACTCAGCCTCCTGAGTAGCTGGGATTATAGGGATGTGCCAGTGTGCCTGCTGATCTAGGTAATTCCTCACGTTTTTTTTTTTTTCTATTTTGAATAGTTGATCTCTTCAAGTCTAATTAATCCACCAAAATGAAGAAGGGAATCGAAATTGGACCAAACCAAAATAGGTGAGAAGGACTTCTGAAAACATTGTGGACTCTTGGAAAATAAAGCTATTCAGAAAAACCAAAACAGGTCAATGGATGAGCCCAGCGGCTATGGAAACTCTCCACTTCTCCACTGAATGTTTGTAGTCTGACAATTTCTATCCCCAGGGGCTTCAGAGGTAACTGAATGATTCCCAACCTGTGACCTGCTGCTGGGTGAATCCGTGGCCTCCCAACTGAATGTAGCCTTCCTTTCCTCTTAGAGCAAAGATATATAAGGCTTTTCTGAAAATGAACTTGAAGCTGTAATAAATCCTCTATTTAAATGAGGATACATACATACACCTAGTGGTCTCCTAGGAGTGAGAAGGTGGTCTTTTTTTCCAAGTTGTGGGAAACAGTGTTTCACTTTACCATGTGTAACACTTGGAAGCTGAGGTTGAATCAGCATTCCCAGTGCTGATTAGGGTCTCATTTAGGATGACAACTATCAACAATCTCAGGGAAATTTCTGGAACACCTTTGGGGGAGACAAAATCCTCACTACTTCCTAAACCACTCCTGGGAGGTGGTGAGGGAAGAAGTAACAGAAGCCCTGGCTCTAGAAATGACGGTCCAGGCTGAAACCCCAGGAGGGGACTTCCCTCTCTTGCTGTGAGGAACCAATTCCTGACTGCAAGTTTTCAAATCAGGTCCACTGCAGCATTTCTCCAGGGAGCCAACTTGAAATAGACAGACGTCCCACTGTGAAGTCATTTGGCTTTCAACCGCAGGGACTTCTGCGCAGTGGGAGTCTCCTGTCTTCCTCAAGTAGGGAAGTTAGGTGGCAGTAAAGGAGGGGCCATGTGAGCACCCAATAACTGCTGCTCCACCAGAAGCAGGTCCAGGGTCACCTGTGAAATGTGATTACATTGGATTCCTTTTCCATCTCAAAAGAGAAAAGAATTCAAACAGCATTGCTGAGGTCACTGTCCCTCTCTTGCAGTGCCACTCTCTGGTCTGGGCATTCCTTTCTTCCTTCTGGAATACCATTTGCTCCTGGAACACTGGATTGCTAGAAGGCCTGCCAGTCACAACAGATCACCCGCACTTGGTGGCATAAAACAATCTTTTCATTCAGCTCATGGATTGGATTCTGTGAGTCAGAGATTTGAACAGTACATGGAGGGACTGTTTATTTTAGTTCCACAATGCCTGCAGCCTCAGCTGGAGGGATTCAAAGGCTGGGGGGAATTCACGGTGGGATCCTTAGGAGGCTGCTCCATTCACAAGGCTGGCAGGTGATGCTGGCTCTAAAATGGAACCTCAGATGCCACTGAAAGCTAATTTACCCACCCTGCCCAAATCCACTCCCTTTGCTTCAGCTTCCTCCCAATATGGCGGCTTCCATGTGGGGGAATTTCTTATGCAGCAGCTCAGGGTTCTGGGCTCCAAATGTAAATGCTCCAAGAAGCTGAGAACTGTAAAACCATTTCCACCTACCTTTGAAAGTCCCAGATAATCACCTCTGCCATATCCACTTCATTTCAAGGAAGTCAGTAGCCTGCGGTTGTAGACCTAACCCTCCCTAGGAGCGCTATCAAAGAATTTGAGAACATGTGAGGTTTTCAAAATTATTTTTCAATTTTCAATAGAATTTTTGTTTTGAGCAGTTTTAAGTTCACAGCAAAATTGATCAGAAGGGATAGATATTTTTCTTTCTACTCCCTGCGTCCACACACCTACTGCTTCTTCCATTATCAACATCCCCCAGAGAGTGGCCCATCTGTTACAGTTGATGAACACATGTTGACACATCATTATCACCCAAAGTCCATGGTTTACATTAGGGTTCACTCTCTGTGTTGTTCATTCTATGGGTTTGAACAAATGTATAATGACACATATCCACTACTGTAGTGTCATGCAGAGTGCTTTCGCTGACCTAAAAATCTGCTGTGCTCTGCCTTTTTGTTTTGCAGGCTTCATAGTAGCCCGAGCTGCCAAATCTAAACTAAGCCTTACTATCACTCTCTCTCTGTGTGTTTCTCTGTAAGGAACTCCCTTCCCTTCACCTCTCAGGTGGAAGTGTATGTCATCCAGGACACTTCGGAGGTGACCATGGCAAAGTGATAATTCTTCTTGGCTCTCTGGTCCTTGTTGACTTTTAAAATGGCAGGTCTCTCCCTTCCCTCTGTTCTTCTTCCACCCCTAGCTCTTCTCTCCTAGCCCCTGAGCCCTCACTCCACTTTAAGATTGTTCTGTAGGTCCCTGGGTGATTCTGTATGACCTTGTGTGCCCTTGCAGAATTAATTAAATGCTAATGATCCATACCCAGGCTCCACAAGGTTCTCTTCCTTGGTAATGGTTTCATGCCAGACTTTGGACTCATGCTTGACTGAAATGGTTTCTCTTTCATGGGGTGATTTTGGGAGGAAAAACTGTCAAGCATGTTCTAGAAACCATCAGCTGCTGTGCTAAGCACAGGACCCTGAGGACTTGCTCAGTAAATGATTGCTTAATAAATTAACCCTGGGTTAGAGTAACCCCAGATGACTTATGGGCTCTGATTCCACCTGACTCACTACAGGAGTTGGGGACCTTGATCAGTGAGCAGTCTTGTAAGTATACAAAGGGGGCAGGCAGCATGCACGTTGTGTGTGTGTGTGTGCGTGTGTGTGTGCACGTGTGCTCGTGCATGTGTGTACATGTGGTTTGCATGGCTGGGGATGATGGGTAGTGATGGTTCTATGGCAATATATTACGGGTTGGGACCAGCAGCATTCACTAACATGGTGGCTCTATGGTCTTCTGATAGTCTGCCCCTTTCCCCCTACCTGTAGCATTGGAACTTCACTGAACACATTCAACAAGCTCTCCAACTGTTGGGCGACTTATTAAGTTTCCTGGAGGCTCAGACCACTGCTGCTTCCTCTTTTCCTTCCCAAAGCATTTGGATAAACCATCAGAAACTCTCTGAGTAAGCTTGACCTCACTTGACCTATATGTAATAGGGGGAGTCCAGGTTTGTAGAATCAATGGGAGAAATAATAAGAATATGTTAATCAATCAAGGTAATTAGAGATACTGGATTCCCAGGGAAGCTTTTAAGAATGACCTGCTTATGTTTCTCATTTAAGAAAAAAAAAAAGAGGGGTGGGGACATAGGTCAGTGGTCAAGCACTTTCTAACATCCATGAGGCCCTGAGTTCCACCCCCAGCATGGGGTCATAGAAAGAAAGGCATTGGGGTTGTGAGAGGAAACTTCTGTCCTTTCTAGCAGTGCTGATGTTAACGGTTGGGACAATGTGTCTATGGAGAAAAGGGATCACAAACTGACTATGGGATATCATTGAACTAAAATGAGATTGCTGCTTTTTTTCTTTTTTCATAATGCCTGTGCAGGTCTATGGCTCTAATGAATCAACTCTCTGTGCCCATGTGTCAGTATTGTAGAACAGAATGAACAACAGCCCACTGAGACATGGATTTCTCACCAGTCTGAAGGTGACAAACTTAATGCTCAGAGAAGCAAATTGTATTGCCCAGAACACACTGCCACCAAGCAGTTGACCCAGACCTTTTACTCATACAATAAACATACAAGGCTATGTATTAAGCTATGGACAGGAAATGAAGATGAAGGTGAGTCGGTTCAGGTCTACAGGAAGTTCATGGTCTAGGTGAGGAAGACAGGTCATTTTGCAACAATGTGATAAGTGTGCTGATAGAGCCATCCAGAGGGCGTTAGGGTGCCATCAAGAGGCACCTACTGGGCAGCGTGATGAAGACTTCCTGGAAGAGGTGATATTTGAACCAAGTGTCAAGGAGAATTAGATGTGGAATTAAAATATAGCAAGGAATGTGGAAGCAGATGCAGCTCTAGGACTGCTCTGGGTGGGGTTTATTCTGAGTTTGAATTAATAGGGCTTCTCCCACTGTGCTCCTCCCCTCAAGGCCCTGATGCTGGACATCACAGCCTGTGTGGTACCTTTTGGTCCCTGAGCTCCCAGATTTCACTCTTCAAAGGTCCTTCTGGAGTTAGCAGAACCTGGGATGCATTTACGGCAACTTTTATATTGTGACTTCCCTGGAAGAGTCCCCCTTCTGCACAACTCCGCCTGCTACAATGAATAGGTAGCAGCTGTGTCAAAGGCCGTTGGCTCACTGAAGGAGGGAGAGTCCATTCCAGAATGCTCTATGACTGCCTTAGAGCATTTTGGAAAAAGTAGGCCAGAGATCACCAGGAAACAATGGCTCCTGGGTTCGCTGCCACAAGCAAGGTGTGATGAGTCAGAATGAAGCAACCGTTACATACACCAACAGGTCTAGTTGGCAGCAGGTAGAGATATTACCTCAGTGAAAAACCAGGCCTGAAAACGGATGCCATCTAACTGTGCCAAAGATCTGCTGAGCTCTTTGTTCTCTTTGTGCCCATAGTGATAGTTGAGAGTGGAGGAGAGTGGGCAGGGAGACATTCAATCATGCATTTATATTTCTACGTACTAAATAAATAGATCACTTTTCCTAAAGAATACTCCCCAAGTTGGCCTCACCATTGGCTCTTTGATTCCTCCCTTCAATAGGTCTTCTCCACAGAATGATTTGGAGGAGACCTGAAGACAGATACTTCTCGGGTCACATCCCACAGCCCAGGCATAATGAAAATAGGTGGAGTTTCTATCCTGTTGGGAAAGATTCTATAGGAAGGATAACTGTGACCAGATATGTTAGGAAGAGCTTACCAGAAGCCCTTCTTGGTATTGGACCTGGGAATCATAGATCTAGGTGCTGGAAGTAACTTTTGTCCTTTTTCAGGTAAGGACAAATTACCTGACTTGAATTAGAGAATCAGGATGGACCCTGTCTCTTGCCTCCAAACCCCAACTCTTATACACACTGATCTGGACCCTATCCTATTGTTCTTTCCATTGTTACAGTGCTCAAAATACTATTTAATTATCTCTAAATGAATTTTGCCACAAAGCAGTGTCTACAGATTGGCTAAACAGCAAGACTCACACACATACGCTGTCTAACACTTCTAACATATCTATTCATATGATCTACAAATATGCATAAAGTGCCTGCTCTGTGATTTTTCTTTACTAAAAGAAGACAAGTTGAAGTACCATGTTTTATTGGCATTTGTAGGCTCAGTGCCCAACATGTTGTCATTTAAGAATTAACACTAAGACAATTCCTTCTTTAGTACCAAGGGTTGAACACAGGGACTTATACACACCAGACAAGGGCTCTGCCATTGAGCTACAACCCAATTCTTCCCTGTAAAACTTATCCACTTGAATATGCACACAGAGACCCCATTAAGAGCTGAGATTTGGTAGCTCTTTTTGATTTAAGTTCATTTAGCTCATTATGAACAAGTTTTCTTGTTCATAATCTTGCTTGGCCCCTATTCAACTATTGCTCTATTTTCTGGGCAATTTTTTGCATTCATAATTCATGACAGTTAAATCCACCCATCTAATCTTTGCTTTACTTCTTTGTTTCAGGAGATCATCTAGCAGTCTAATAGACCAACAAGTCATGTCCTGTGGCTCCAGGCCTGCTATTTCACAGCATACCAAAATCAACCACAGCCTTTGCCTCCGACCTCACCCATGTCAAGGGCAGAGATGGGGCTGCCCCAGGGAAGGTGGAATTTATGAAAATGTGTATGTTCTTTCTTGTTTTTATCCAGAACTCCCCAGAGAAGTAGAATTAACTTTCAGTGAAACAAAGCCAACTCAAATCTAAGGAAGAATTGCCCTCCTGAAGTTTGCTAGAATATCGGTGAAATATCAACTCTTGCTATTCACTCATTCACCTGGGACTGGGGGAAAAATGTATAGATTTGCAGATAAAAATACTTAGGACTACATTGGTAGAACAAATGCTTAATAGCACACAGAAACTGCCATGTTTAAAGGAATTTAAATTCTATTAATCACAACCTTCTCTATAGGATATTCCAAGTCTGAGTTATTTCTGTCATTCTTTATTGCTGCAGCTGTCTGTACCTATCTTACCATTGGACTGGAAGCCGCATGAGGGCAGAATTAGTTTGACTTGTTCACTATCTGTTGTATACTCAGCACTTAGCACAGAGCAGGGATTTTGTGCTATTTGTAGATGAGATGAATAGATACATTAGAAGAGTTAGACTGTGTGTGCATGTTATATGTGTGTGTGTGTGTGTGTGTGTGTGTGTGTGTGTGAGAGAGAGAGAGAGAGAGAGAGAGAGAGAGAGAGAGAGAGAGAGTCTTGCTATTTAGCCAATCTGTAGACACTGTTTGTGCAAATATGGTGTTTCCATGTGGGGGTTCAAGGACCTTAGATTGGAAACCATGGGCTTGGGTTGACATCCTTGTATCCAATATTTTATGTCATTTCCCTCCTAAGAGAGCTTAAAATGTTGGTCTCTGAGCGTAGAGAAAAATGATGACTTAGAGGTAGGAGCCTGGACTCTCTATAGTCCTTTCCAAAATAATGGAAAGTCCGTGAAGAAGACAGAACTTGGAACTTAAAAGAAGGCTGAAACTTCCTGACATCCACAGGCACAGGCATGTTGATGACAGCTTCTCTCAAGAGCCAGCTTCTAACATTTGTAGGAGCAAAAAAGTAAGCTAATCTCCTGGAGCCCCTAGGCAGACTGGTTGTTATTTCAACCCCAAACAGGCCTGAAAGATACTTTGCCTGTTTCCTCTGTCAGCCTATTTGTGTGGAGTGTTGATAACTGAAATGACACACAGTAAATACTCTTTGTCTTGTGCGACATTCTCTGGGAGTGGAGATGAGCAGGGAAATATAGGAGTTGAAAGAAAGAATGCTTAGTTTAAAATATGTGCATGTGTACGTGCCTCTCAGAGTGCGTGTCAAGGTTTCAAACGCTGACATCTCTCTTCCCTCTTTAGACAACAGCTCCTTCCCTTGATTCTCCCTGCTCCTTTTTATAGTCTCCAAACAAAGAGAGACCGATTCTCTCCAGGTGTGAACAAATCAGGGAGGTTTCCTGTTTAAGATTCAGAAATTCATAGCCCCGAGGAAATGAGTTAAAGAGAGGAGAGGACAGAGCCAGAGAGATGAAAAACAGAATCTTCACCACCTGCTATTTAGTGATTAGCTGGAGATAAGGGAGGCAAAGACTATGCATTCCAGGAGCTCAGGACTTGCCCAGGCAGAGCTCAGGGTGAAGGAGGGCTTGGAGAAAAGCAAAGCCAGCAACATGGAGGGGGAGGCAAAGCTCCTCAGAGCACCATCTATTAATTTTTTCTCTCCCAGTTCCTCTGTTTCACAGCATTCTTAAACATATAAGCCTTCACCCTCCTTTTCATTCAGTCTACCTCACCCAGAGGTTTATGGGAAGGAATCTTGTGAACACCAACACTTGCACCAACCTCACCTTCTTTCATATGAGTCTAATGACTGCTATCTCTTGAGTTGAAATAGCTGAACCCAAAAGCATCTTGAAAGGAGCCAAGGCCCTGATCCCTCAAGGCTGGGCAGCAGGAACCTTGTTGAGCTCCTGGGTGTTCCTCTGCTCTGGTCCTTACACCTGCGTACACCGTTTGACTAAACCACATGGGAAACCAAATGCCTATTTCTTTACTTCCTGAGAAGAAGGCTGTTCCATTATGGTGCTTTCCATTCTCAGTAGAAAGGGGTGAAATTAATTTACACACAGCCTAACCTTCTGCATGTGGCACCTGTGACCACAAACATGACCCCAGATTCTGAACAAAGGGGGCAAGATACAGTGTGCTTGTCAGGGTAGCATGGCCTCTTCCCTCATTAGCCTCGCCTGTTCCCTTTGTTCTTAGGATGTGAGTGTCTGGCCCTTGACAATAACAATGTGTTCAGTTTTTCCAACACGGTGAGGTCAGCTCACTGCCTTCTGGCCTCCAGAGCAGGTACGAGCCATCAAGCCTTGACAGATACAAGATCAAGTTACTAATTCACCCTGATTTTCATTTTTGCATTGTCTCTCATAAAAAATTAAATGTGAAGCCATGAACAATTATGCCAGGGTAAAAAATAAATACTCTAGCGATTAAAAACTGGAAATCACTAGCTTTGAAATTTCTCCAAAAATATAGCCACAGATGTCAAGCAAATGCCAGTCAAACATGGGCTGTAAAACTCAGACTGTAGACGCTGCCTTGTAAAGCGTTCACAGATGTAGCAGCGGCAGAAATTCTCACAGCTTAGACAAGCAAGACTTCTGCCTTTTTCTTTTCTTTCTTTCTTTTTTTTTCCCCCTTGAGGGGGGTGGAGGGATTATGCATCAAACTGTTCATTTCAATATGTAATTTGCCTCAAAGAATTTCTGACTTAATTTATTTTCTCACCAACCTAAATCCAATTCAAAAAACATTTCTTGAAACCCGAACAATCTACTTTCGGTTGACGAGTGCTAATAGGTGCAATGTTGCCCCTGTCAGCTCCCAAGAGCACCTACTGAGCTCGGAGCCACACAGGGAAAAGGAAATTAAACTGGAGTTTGAATTTGTTTCCTTTTAAATTCTTGGCCATAGTTGGACGTGTACGGGGCGTAATGAGAAACAAATTGCATTGTGGGCTTTTCTTTGTTTATTAAAAAAAAAAAAAAACTTTTAAAAGAAGTTTGAGCTGGAATAAATTCACATCTTAATGTAAGGTATACATCGGATACGGAGGAAATACATCTGCCTAAAAAAACAATGTCCAAAAGTCTCTTTTTCGACACCTCCTTGCTAGTTCTTGGATTAAACAAATATTTCCACTGAAATATGACAGACACAGTTGTTTTTGGACTCTGTTTTATTTTTCTAGGAGATCTGTCTCTCTGCTCTTTT